CATAAAGGAAGTGCATGTGCCCGAAACGTCGGTGTCTGCCCCTCCACATTATGCAACCTGACACTTGAACTTCGCCGAGGTCTTATTATGGAACCTCCCTGGACCGTAAATGGAGGTCAATGGAATCCGAGTCACCGTCTGTGCCCGCAACCCCCAAAACGTTGATGTGCATGCGTCCGAGCAGCCAGCAACCCCCGGGTCGCACTCCCCTGACCGACGCGAACCGGGGAGGAGAGCGGGAGGTGCGGGTGGGAGGAGGAGGGCCGGCCCAAACCACCTCCGCTCGGCCCTACCCGGCGCTTCGGCTCGCTAGGGCCTCGGTTTCCTCTTGCGTAGGAAGAGGTGGCGACCAACTGCTCAGCGCGCTTCCACCCGGCCCCGTCTCTCCGGAACCCTCCACCTGGCTGGCCGGCCGGCGCCCTCGCCTCCGGCGCGTCTCCACCCGGGCCCACGGGTCCCCGCCCCAGGCCGGTAACTCACGCCCGCCGCCGCCGTGGGCACCGCAGACTTGTCCTTGGCTCGGGCCAAGCCGGACCGCCTCCGGCCGCTGTCCTCCAGGCTGAGGAACTCGTTGGATAGGTCCAGGGAGTCGGTGGCCGAGGAGGTGGTGGAGCGACTGTGGAGCTCCAGGCTGCTGCGGAGGACCACCATCGTGTCCCGCTGCACAAGCAGGAAGCCGTGGCGACGGAGGGAGAGAGGTGCCGAGCCCCGGAGGCTGCTTCTCAGGCGATCCCGCGCTCTGAATTCTGGCGCCACAAACTGCGCGCCCAGCCGCCGTAGCGTACGCGCGCGGGATCCGTCCGCCGCCGGCCCCGCCCCCGCCGCCGCAGGCCCCGCCCTCCCCACCGCCCCCAGAGCGACCTACCCGAGGCTTTCCTCTCAGCTCCGAAGGGCGCGGGAGCCCGTGCCGGGAGAACCGGCGGACGAGGTCCGGGGCGTAACAGGAGTTGGCGACTTCTTCCTTCTTTTTGTAGTTCCGGCTCTCCGCCTACAGTGGAAGGACACGGAGGGAGCGGTGCAGCGTCTGGTTTGGAATTTTGGCGCGTGAATGCGGAAGGCCTCTTTGGCCACCTGTCGGCTGTTTCCCTCCATCAAGGCTTCAAACGAAAAAAAAAAAAAAAAAAAAAAAAAAAAAGCACTTTGCCTTTGATAGGTTTGACTTTGAGACTGAAGAGGTTTTTTATTTGATGAGTTAATGAAAATAATTAACTACCGGAAAGAAAGAAAATTTAACGGTCCTTAAAGAGAGCTAAAAGAACTGGCAATAGCTGTTGGGATAGAATGAGTCACATAAATTGACCAGGAATAAAACTAAAATTCTAATCTCTCTCTCTCCCTCCCATGCCTCACCCACACACATACTAGGGTCCTGTCCAAACTGTGGGAACTGTTTGGTTGACTGCCCTACTCTGCCTCGCAAAGGTAGTTCAGTCCCCCAAAAATCTCCACAGAAAAATTCTGCCAGACCTTCTGGGTCAGTCAGAGGCCCATGCTGTCCTGTGTGGCAGCTGGTGTTAGAAGACTTACAACCTCTGCCCCAAACAAAGCCGTGAAGATCAGCATGGAGTAGCACGGGGTGGCTGTCCAGGTAGCAGGTGAATCTCTGTCATTCCAAACTGATACAGAGGCCATTTGGCATTTTTTAAAGGCCTTACAAAACAAGTGACAAAACAAGTTGGATAGAAACAGATGTCATTGAGCTTCTAACCTTTCCAGCTCCGGCCTATTTTGATTACAGGGACTCTCTCTCTTACTGAACAGTTTCTGTAGTTGGCCCTGGTGGTGCATGCTTTTAATTCCAGAACTCAGAGGCAGGTGGATCTCTGTGAGTTCAAGGCCAGCCTGGTCTACAGAGTGAGTTCCAGGAGAGCCAGAGCTACACAGAGAAACCTTGTCTACACACAGATTACACATCTGTGTCATCACACTCATTTTATGTGGTGCTGGTGATTAAATCAAGGGTTTCTTGTATTATAGGTAAACATTCTAGCAACTGAGCTACATCTCTATTCACCTGCATCCTAATAAAAAGAGAATAATGCCAGTCATGATACTTAGCCTTTGGCAGAGATATGAGAATTATGATCATAATTTCAAAGTGATTCAGTTGCTTATTGCGTAGGGTACTGAGTCATATGACACCAATGTAGTTTAAGAGACTTGACAAAACATTAGTAGTTTCTAACAGCCGTGTCAGTAGGAAGCCTTCCCCTCCCTTCTGCTGCTCCCATTAAAATGACTGCTTGGGAAAGCTAAACACTGCCAGGAAATTTTACTATTTGTTCTTGCCAACATTTCATGATAGGCCCTGACATTCCCCCACTAGAAAATTTACTGAAAAGATTTTAGAACTGTCAGTATGTACCTCTTTCAATTCAGAAGTCTTAATGGTTCTCAAAGGAAGAGTCATTCCTTTGATGTCTCTCTCTCTTTCTCTTTTTTTTTTTTTTTTTGGTTTCTCTGTATAGCTTTGGCTGTCCTGGAACTCAGGCTGTAAACCAGGCTAGCCTTGAACTCACAGCAATCAGCCAACCTCTGCCTCCCTGAGTGCTGTGATTAAAGACCTGTGCTACCAAACACCCTGCTGAGGCACTCCTTTAAAATGGCATCATCAGGAAGGAAACAGAGGACTCTTGAAATCTCTGTGGGGGGGACTATACTTCAAATAACTGTGTCTTACATGATGATGCTCCAGCATCTACTAAGTGCTTTATATATATAAACTCACTCCTTGTAGCAAACCTATTTAGATAATACCATTGGTAACTTTGTTTTAGCGTGAAAACTGAGGCCCAGGGAATAGGGTATGAAGTTATTTGCTCAAGGACAAGTATCCATTAACTGGTAGAACCTGCCAGTTATGTTCAAAGTCTAGGCACGGTGATGTGCGCCTTTAACTCTAACACTCAGGAGTTCCAGTAAGAGGGGTAAATCAAGGCCATCCTTGACTACACGGTATGTTCAAGGCCATTGTGGGCTACATGAGACCATGTCTCACCACCACCTTTGCACACATACCATAAAATAATCAGGAGACAATCACAGGTTGGCAGCAGTGGAATAGAAAATAACTACAAAATAGACGTACTCTATATGCCGCTGAGGCTGGGGTGGAGTACCAAATTAAGTACAAACTTGAGACTGGTTCCTGTTCACTGAGGAAGGCTTGGGTCAGCTACGAGAAGGCAAAACAGTTTGCTGGTGTGGCATGTGTGGGATGATGTGTAGTCACTGGGCAGACCGGCAACCCCTGGAACAGGTGTGGGGGGGCAGGTGGGTGAGGTTGGGTGGTATGTGCTACAGAGGGGGAGTCTGAGGAGCAACCGGGCTGATTCCCACAGCGTCTGGGGCAAGATGGCTAGTGAGAGAGGAAAGAGACTAGCAGGCCGCTGTGTGACCCTGCTGTCCACCCACAACTGTAAGCAGGCTTTCCCAAGCTCTGGCTTCTGTGTCCAGAGGGCTGAAGAGAAGCTAAACCTTCAAGGTCACAGAGGCATCAAATTCTGGGCCTGTGTCTAGAGCTGAGTCCACTGGAGGTTAAGATGATCGCACTACTAGCTCTGGTTCCCTCTGGAAACTGCAGGGATCCGCTTTGCCTTGCCGTATCTCTCCATCCCTCTACTGAGAAAGCTTCCCGCTCGCTTTATACTCATCAAGAGAGGTTTAATTACTTTTCCCCCCACAGAGCCTCTATTGAAGCAAATAGTTAAGCTGAAGCCGTAAATTGGTTACAGACAAAAACACGTTTAGTTTTTTAGGATTTATGGGTTTTGGAAGGCAACTAGGTTCACCAATATGCCACCAGCACAGCACTTTATGGAGTTTGGGCCTCATGAGGTTGAGAGTCTGTGGGTGGCCTATAACCAATCTTAAGGACTTTAGTTTTTGCAGGGAAGGTCTCTGAGCACTTACATATGTTTACTGCAAACACAGTTCTTTATGTCCTTCACTTGCTACGAATAAACACTGTTCTAACAAATTGTTCTTTCCTTCTGCAAATAAATATAATTAACATAAAATGCTGTCCCAATTCTTTAAATGATTTTTCTTTTCTTTTTTCTTCTACCTTTTTTTCTTCTATCCTTTTTTCTCTTTCTTCCTTTCTTCTTCTTCTTCTTCTTCTTCTTCTTCTTCTTCTTCTTCTTCTT